AGCAGAAATTTTACGAAGCATCTCAACAACCACCTCACTAATTCCTTCCCCAGGTTGAAAACGTTGAGTCTATATAGTGATTAAGGGTATCACACATATGCTAATAAGGAATCTACCTCTACCTTTAACCTGCTTTCTCATCACAATTTACAGATGCTTGTCTTATCAACAAGGATGGGTCAGAAACACTGTAAAGTAGCCGAAGTTGCTAGTTTATTCTGCAACTTTCTCCAAGCAGGTGTTCACTAGTGGGGTTCTGAATTGATTGACGTTTATGGTGGATACAAATTGGATAGTTATAATATACTTAGTCCAACTTTGCCATTTGTAGTTGTGGCGGTACATTTGGAAAGGAATATCGAGTCTCGGAAGTACAACCACATGGATGATAAATACAAAATAAGATTAGGAACCTATACTGCTGAACTGGCTGAGGGGAAAAGAAAATTGGATGTGTTGTTCAAACGGATTTACGAGGACGAGGAGTTAAGGAAGATTTCGAAATACTTTTGCTTGTGTAATCTTCAATTCATATGACGTATCCAGTGACAAAACAGTGTAGTTCAGTTGGTATAATTTCTCGTTTTGCAGCAAACAGAACAAACATACAACAATAAAGCAATAAAGCTGCAAACAAAACAATAGAAGCGGCTGCGGGGTGCTACAAAAAAACCATATCGTGATATCACGTGATTTGTGGCTTCACTTCTATTGTTTGCATATCAGTTATAGTCTTATCAATAGATTTATATAGCATGAACTAATGCTGTAGAAGACAATACGAAAAAAAAAAAAAACAAAAAAAAAACACAAGAGACAAAGAGAGCAACAAAGAGAGTTGTTACAAAGAGCAGCTACTGCAGAATGGGTTATCTGTATATATAAATATATATATATATCCCTCTTAATATAGACATATCTATCTGTAGTGTTTGAATAGTACAAGAAACAAACACTACTAACTCGACACTAGTGACTCTCTCTCTCTCTACCTACACCTTTTGTCTGAGATTTTTACTTGTAGAAGTAGAGATTAAATTTCGGTGATGATATTAGTAATCGTATACCCTTTTAGTAAGCTGATCACGTGCCTAATACTGTGGCTTTGTAAATTGAAAAAGAAATTTTTTTATTAACAAACAACCACAACAACATTTAGCATAGCATTATAGCGCTTTATATAAACCACTCACAATCCACATATTTACACAACTTTTCTTCACCATTTGTCACGAAGAATACAAACTATATTGGTACAGCCACCATTCTTTTTCCAACTACTTTTTACAAAAGAGAATTTTCGGTGTAAATATATCTATAATATAAGTCACCTCACATTCACATTACACAACCCACCGCCAAACCACGCCACACCACATCACATCACAGCACAAAAGCTTTGAAAAAGATTTTCCTTTTTTTTTTTTTTGTTTTTTTTTTTTTTGTAAATCAGCATCTCAGACTCAACAAAGTTGATTTTTACTAAGCAGACCCTTTACTTATATATATATTGCTTATTGATACACTCGTATACACACATCACCAACCATAATCCCAGTCATGACAATCGATTCGTCTTCTACCTTTGCCTTTGGAACTAGAGCTATTCACGTTGGTGCTCCTATTGACGCTACTACCGGTGCAGTGATTGAACCCATTTCATTATCCACCACTTTTGGTCAATCTGAACCTTCCAAACCCATTGGGATCTACGAGTACTCACGTTCTGCTAATCCAAATAGAGACAATTTCGAAACTGCAGTTGCCTCTTTGGAGTCAGCCAAGTATGCGATTGCCTTGGCTTCAGGTTCTGCAACTACTGCTTTGGTTATCCAATCTTTACCCATTGGATCTCACATCATTTCCGGTGGTGATGTTTATGGCGGGACCCATAGATACTTCACCAAAGTGGCCAATCACCACGGTGTCGAAGCTACTTTTGTTGGTGACTTGGTGTCTGATTTGGAATCTTCATTAAGACCTGAAACTAAATTGGTATGGTTGGAAACCCCTTCAAACCCAACATTGAAGGTCACCGATATCGCTAAAGTTAAACAAATTTTACAAAATCACCAACAAGCTACTGGAAACAAGGTGTTGTTGGTTGTTGATAATACTTTTTTGTCTCCTTATATCTCCAACCCTTTGAAATTTGGCGCTGATGTGGTTGTTCACTCAGTCACAAAATACATCAATGGACACTCAGATGTTGTTATGGGGGTATTGGCCACCAATGACACTGATTTGCATGAAAAGTTTAGATTTTTACAAAACGCCATTGGATCCATCCCATCACCATTTGATTCTTGGTTGGCTCACAGAGGTTTGAAAACTTTGCATTTGAGATTGCGTCAAGCTTCAACTTCGGCACAAAAGATTGCCGAGTATTTGCAATCAAAAATTGAAGACGGGTCAGTCATTCATGTTAATTACCCAGGATTGAAATCCCATGAACAACATGGCGTTGTTTTGCGCCAGCACAGAGATGGTTTAGGTGGAGGAATGATCTCTTTTAGAATCAGAGGCGGAGCCAAGGGGGCGTCAGTTTTCACTTCTTCAACGAAATTGTTCACCTTGGCTGAATCACTTGGTGGGATTGAATCTTTAATTGAAGTACCAGCAATAATGACTCACGGAGGTATCCCCAAAGCTGAAAGAGAAGCTAATGGTGTTTACGATGACTTGGTTCGGGTCTCAGTTGGTATTGAGGATACTGATGATTTACTCAAGGATATCGAGCAAGCTTTACATAAGGTAAAGGGTTTGTAATGGGCATGCATGGTAATTTGTTCGGATTGTACTTTGTGTATCACTTATTAATAGTTTTTTAAATATAAAGAGATTATAGATTTATGGGGCTTCCAACTGTGTACTGTTGTAATGTGGTCCTCTCCTTATAGGCGATGGAATTTGGTGGAAGGAAACGAAATTGAAGCGCGACGTGTGTCGTATTTAATGCACACCAATTATGTCACGCTGTTATTACAAATTCATCACTAGCTACAGGGCTCTTCTACCAAGACAGGGTGGTGATGTTGTTATCAGATATCAAAGTTTTACTAAGTGTGGCCCTTTTCAGTACTCAATTGACGACAGCAGCAACAGTAGTGGACGTTGAAGAGGAACTTATTTGTCCTGATCCTACCAATCCCACAATTTGCTACCCTAAAATATTTGTTGCTACAAACGATTGGCAAATTATAAAACCAGGTCAAGATATCCCCGCTGGACTACACGTTAGATTGAATTTGGAAACTTCGGAACGAGAAGCTAAATTGATGTCGGGTGAGTCGGATAATGAGGTAAAAGAAGAAAGCGTTGTTGTTGTTGTGGGAGGTGACAATGGAGGAGAGCAAGCACACAATGACGATTCTGATAAACTTAAACATGAGCAAATTGCCAGTGCTCTTCATATAAATAAAAAGAACAAGCTGAGAGTGAGTCAAGGTGACTTGTCTGATTTCGATTCGGCTGTGGAAGAAGTTGAACATTACGATCAACATGGTGACAAGGAACGATTATTGAAAGCGTTGGACACTATAAATGACTTGTCCCATGATATCGAACTTGGAGAGCAGTTGACCAGCAATGGAAATCTTTTCCATAAATTGATTGACTTGTCTAGCAACACCAATGATGTGCAGCTTGAAGAAAAAATCTACAATATCATTGCTGCGTCGCTTAGGAACAATCCTGGTGCTGTTGCAAACCTACTCGACGGGAAAGTTGCAGGTCTCAATGTGGAGGAGTTCATTGACTCGTTATTGAAAGCCATTAATGAGTCGCCAAGTATTATACAAAAGCGCAAAACCGGTATCATTCAAGCTCTAGTTCAAAATCCAAGTATAGCTGAAGAATTGTTTTCATTTGAGCATCCCAAGGGTTTGAATCAAGTGATTGGTGTCTATCCAAGCTTGAGTGCAGAAGCCAAAGTTCGGGTAGTACACATCTTGGAAGATCTCAACTTGAGAGGCAATAACAATGACAAGAGAACAATTGAAGATACTGACCCTGATTCCAATATGTCCAAGTTTATCCAACAAGCATTAAGTGAAGGTAAATTCAAGAATGATGACGATGCGAAAGCCTTTTTTACCAACTTGGCAAATTTGCACAAAAATGACAGACGGTTGAAGCCAAGTTCTGAATTTTTGCAATGGTTGAGCAAGGAGGTTGAATTGGGCAAAGAACGGAAAAAGAGAGAGGATGTCTCCCAGCAAGATCTCGACTTTGATAAGTTTATGCTATCTGCTAGACACGAGATATTTGGTAATCCCATGGCAATGAGAAAAGCTACCGCTGATGAACTATAATTTGCAGTACATTTTTTACATACTACACATAATACAAAATAAAAACCGTCTTCAAAGTTGTCTTGTTATTTGCTATAGTACAAACCTCTATCAGATACGTAAAGAGCCAGAAATTGGTCCCCCTCTCGTAACTATCTCCTCAACCATTTTGCTTAATCGAACAAACCGAATCCCATATCATCATCAGATTCTTCCTTTTCTTCTTCAGCAGCTTCTGGGGCAGCTTCTTCAGCAGCTCCACCAGCAGCAGCTCCAGCGGCAGCTCCAGCACCACCAGCAGCAGCACCACCGGTTGGAACACTAGACAATTTCTCGTTACCTTCGGCAATCAATTCTTCAACTGATTTACCGTCCAATTCGGAAATCAATTTTTCAATCTTGTCTTCTTCGATTTCGACATCGGCAGCAGACAAGACTGATTTGATGTCTTCGGCTGATGGGGAGGTTTTTCCGGCGTTGACCAATAATAAGTATGCAGCTAAGTATTTCACTAAGAAATGATGTTAGTAACAAATTGACTGCTATGGAATCGGTGGGGTGAGACGGGATTTGGATGGAATAGAGACAAGGGCCATCTTGGTAGGTAGGGCCAATCCGGGGTCCAAAATGGCACCATACTGAAACGGCTGTCCATGTGTAAATATCAAAAGTCTGATGTCTTATGCATTATTATTGCCTCACTTGATACCATCACCCACACTCTTGTGGAAACTTGTTGTATCTCCTGAAAAAGCTTTGTAATTCAAGTTCAGTGCCGTGGTCACGGCTAGATTTCCCTCTGATTCTCCTGGTTTCCATCCATCACTCGTAGTAGTTACTGGACATACTCTTTTGGTTAATGTTTAAGGTTTCAATAATCCACTTCGTCTATTTGCGTGAAATTTTCACTTTTGAGCAAAGTGTGTGCGTGTATGTGTGTGAATGAGAAAAAGAAAAAGAAAAAAACAGTCACGATTTGGTCATGTGACTTGAGCAAAAATATTGATGCAAAGATAAGAAATGGAGTTAGGTAGTATTGCGTAGTCACAAGTGTTGACAGCACACACGGGTGAATGAATATCAAGCTGCCGAAATGAAGAGTTTTGCTGTTGCAGAGCTTTCGCAGTCATACGGAGTCGTGTTCAGTCAATTGTTTTACTTCAAATTGAACCCAATTTTTTATGTACAACCGAAAACCAACAACCGTACTCGATTTGAAAGGCACATCAAGCGTGAATATGCTCTACGATGGCTCGAGTGTGCTACAAGCGGTACTAGACGACAATTCTCTGTTCTTTAATACTACTGATCTCTATTAAAATTTGGTAGCGTCGCGTTTGACGTTACTATCGCGCTTACTAAACAGTGTTGAACATTCAACGTTTTGGGGTTTATTAACTTTTGCAACAAGAGCCTCGCCACGACAACATCAATGCCTCCCAAGCCATTTCCTCACCTATTATCGCCCACCCAGGAAGAAGACCTCATCACAAATGCACAGCAATGGGCCCTTACCAATGGGTTGGTGATGTACCCTCCCAATTTTGACATCCACCAAGCAAGTGTGGCTCCAATCACATTGTTCCCCACACCAATTCCCAAGTCGAGCTTTGAGCGGGCGATTAAAGTTCAAACCTTGTACAATGAATTGTACATCAACTTGATAACAAAGAGGAAAGGTTGGTTGGTTGATATATTGAAGTCCTTGGCTGAGTTTGACCCCGATTTTTCGGGCAAACTATTTGATATTTACCAAAAGTCAATTGCCGATGGAGTGCTACAACCATTGTCCTTGGGAATCTTCCGGTCTGATTATATGATTGACTCCACTGAGCAACAGATTAAGCAAATTGAGTTCAACACAGTTAGTGTTTCATTTGGTGGGCTATCGACAAAAATCGGCCAATTGCAATCGTTTTTGAATTTGGCTGGGTTCTATGACGATAAATATAACTTCAAGTATTACGAAGATGGTGAAATCCCTGTTTCTACTTCCGCCACAGATATTGCACAAGGCTTGGCTGATGGGAACTATTACTACAATGGGGAAGCTGACAATAAGGATACTATTGTCTTGTTTGTGGTACAGCCAAAGGAGCGCAATTGCTTTGATCAGCGTATTGTTGAGTATGCGTTGTTTCATGATCATGGCATAAGATCAGTTAGAGTTACTTTGGAGGAGGTGGATGCATTGGTTACCAACAACAGTGGCAAGTTGTATATCAAGTCAACCATGGATGAAATTTCCGTGGTGTATTATCGTTCGGGGTATGGTCCAAGCGACTATGACTCCAATCCAACCAAAACTTGGAATGCAAGATTGTTTTTGGAGAAATCGCAAGCAATCAAATGTCCATCAATCTTGACGCAATTGTCAGGGTCTAAAAAAATTCAGCAACTTTTGACAAATGAAAGTATAATCAAGCAGATTCTTCCGCATGTCACTGATCAAGATCTTAAATCTCTTCTTTCAACATTTGTGAGAATACTCCCGTTTGATGAGTCGGAGCAAGGTCAAGAAGCAGCCAAGTTGGCAATCCAAGAACCAGAAAAATTTGTATTGAAGCCGCAAAGAGAAGGTGGTGGGAATAACATCTACAAACTTGACATTCCTAAATTTTTAGACAAGATCAGTAAGAAAGATTGGGGCGCCTATATATTAATGGAGTTAATCAACCCAGAAACTTATCGAAACAAGATTCTTCGCAATGGTGAAATATATCACGAAAATATAGTCTCGGAATTGGGTGTTTTTGGAACGATAGTTTTTGATGAGCAAACGGGGAGCATAAAGACCAATAAGAATGCCGGCTGGTTATTGAGGTCAAAGTTTGAAACAAGTGATGAGGGAGGTGTAGCTGCTGGGTTTGGTTGCGTTGATAATGCATACATCTACTAGACTTTTAGACGTTTGAATTTACATTTTCTATCTAGAAGGAGGCAAGTTCAACAATATATTCATCCTCGATTTGATGTAAAGCTTGTCTCTCTTTGTTTTCCATATCCACAGCCCATAAAGCTGCTCCAATTGTATTGGTAAATATGATCAAAATGTCGACCCATGGCATCATTTCAAACAAGATGGCAGCGAGTCCGAAGGCAATGTAAGCCGGTCGGTTTGCCTTGAAGGCTTGCTTCATCTTTGTTTTGTTGTACCCTTTCAATACGAAATATCTTCGGTGAGCCAAAAACCCCTTTGAAGTTACACGGAAATAAAACACCAATACAGGACCAATGAAGGGAATGCAATCAACAAGACACAAAACAATCATTCTCGGTAACAGCATGGGAAATATTGAGAACCTCCAAACATCATACAAATAGCTCTTTATTCTGCTCCAAATTGACAAGGATTGTGATTGGTAGCCGTTCCTAGCTCTTAGCAACCGTACAAACAGGTTGTTACTCTCACGACTGAGGACTGCCTCGTACGCAACTTTTTGGATATGGGGGAGAAGAACTATAGTGACTATAATCCGAGAAAATAAACTTGAGCATTGGTAGATTGGGAACCAAGCTGCAAGCATACCAAATGGACCAATTAACAACGTCATGATGATTGAAGCGGGAGGATAGACAAACAAGAGCATTGACAGATGTATTGCCAATGTGAGAAGTAGCTGCGGGATCAATATTGTGAGGTAGAATGGCCAGATCGTGGGATGGTCTAGGAAATAAAGAACCCCCTTTTATGAAGAAGGTTAGTTTATTTTCTTTGATGGTAAAAGAGTGTGTATCATTACAGTTCAAAACGTACTTTTGGGGGGTATGTATATGCCAATGAATCAATGACTTCTTTCAAAAAGTTCAACAATTGATGGTATTGATTCCACAACATTTGTCACAACTTACATCAAAAGGTGTTGCAAAAAAGAAAAAAAAGAAAAAAAAATGACATTTGGTGATTTTCAAGGAAAATAGTTTTGTCAACGGAGGGAACTACTCTGAAAAAAAGGCTAATCTTGTGAGCACTTACTTTCTGAAAGCAAAATAATACTTCTCCTGAAGTAAATTTCTGGTCTAGACTCCTGTGTGAAGAAATTTACAGCACCAAGTTGTATATTGAGAGTCTTTTTTCTTTCTCTGATCTAAATAAACCAAACGTATGAAACTCAAGAAAATAGGTCCCTTGGCCCAGTTGGTTAAGGCGTGGTGCTAATAACGCCAAGATCAGCAGTTCGATCCTGCTAGGGACCATTTGAATTTTTTTCTTCTTTTAGTTTATACAGTGTTTTTTTTTACTTTGTACGGAAAATGGAACGAGAGCAGCCCCAGTGGCCAGCTTTTGCAGCCTTATAGTCATTGAGGGACTAGTTTTTTGATCAATGATTCTCCCTTGCTTACCGTTTTCAGAAATAAGGGAACTTTTTGGCCATAATATAGTACGATTGGTTGAAGTATCAGTGTATGGCGTCATAATGACAAGAGATACTGTGTTTAGTGATTCTTTTGTTTTGACTCCAAATAGAAATTGTAAAGCAGAATGATTAGTGTGTAGTATTTCATTTATTTAGTTGGTTGTATATTGTCATGGAGAGAGATTTGATGAAATTTTGTAAAAGTTCTGTGTGAATTTTTGGCAACCAAAATATATTCTTGTGTCAGTCCACCAGTATTACACATTCAACAAGAAAGACGGTTCTAACGGTATTCACAACCAGCATCCAACTCAACCAGGCTTCTAGTACCACAAACTAGTATCCCACAAAATCATCTACTAGAGGCTCATTGCAATTCCTCTTGTTTTTACATCCTTTTGCGTGATCTTCAGCTGGTGGAATTCTGAGATGTGTCAAAATCTTGCTATTACCTCTCCAATGTCGGATAGAAGAAGCTGTGCTGATATGATGAAGGAGGAGAGGCGTGACAACGATCCACTTAGAGCTGTTTTGATGAAAGGATGTGGGAAAATGATCAACTGGTGACCTGCTTTCTTAGTGAATACTGAAAAAAAACGTCCTACAAATCTGTGGTTCCAAAATGGTATGTTTGCATTGCTATGAGTGTTTGTTTAAATCTGTGCTAACTTTAAAGAGTGGACTGTAATTATAGAGTGGCTGCTTTTCATCTACTTGCTTACTGGAGGTTCTGCTATTTTTCTTTGAAGGACTTGAGGTCATTTTGGGTCTCTGAAAACAGTCGGTAAGTGAGGCAAATGACTGGGTCAGACATGGCTCAGCCAAATTGTGATGAGCTGCTATTGCCACAGGTTAGAACTAGAGACTGTGGAGGTCGGGTGGGGTAACAAGTCCTTGTTTAAAGAGATTAGAGGAGAGAGCGACACTGTTAAAGGCTATCACAAAGAATCGTGGTTTCATTACAAGCACAAGGATGGAATGGATAAAGGGTCAAGTTCAGGGCAATTGTGGAAAGGGCGGTTAGGGATGGTGGGAGGGAAAAGGCTGTACAAGTTAAAGTCTCTGATGCTCAGCATCTACTACTTTAATGTAAATTTCGGTATATTCGTGTGTATCCAAGATCTCT